AAAGGAGGGGCAGTTGGACTAACAGCTGCCTCCTCAACAAGGAACAATAAAGCCAGAAGACAAAGAAATGATGTTCTCAAAGTGTTAAAACAGTTATAGGGATGGTAAGTCAACACATAAAAGTATGTTCATCATCATCAGTCGTTGGAGAAATGGAAATCAATACTGCTATGAGATACCACTGCATACCAGCAGAATGGCTGACATTAAACAGACCGACCAAACCAAGTGTTGGCGAAGTTGTAGAGGAAATGAAACTCTCCTGGCTGGTCCAATGATAGTGACTAAGTGAGCTAATACATATCAAGAGCTTAATACAGCCAACTGTCAATAAATGGTAACTTTATTATATTAATTAGGCACTTTGAAAAGAAGGACTTGTTCAATTTGATAAGTATATAGTATTTTCTTGTCTCCCCAGTTACTACTCTGTTTATCTGCTGTGTGACTAGATAATTGGCTGTGTAATTTGTGGGGCACAGTGAAAATAATAAGCTGGACCCCTAGCTAAGAAACAATTGAGACTTTCAAGAGAGCAACAGCAAAACATTAAGCCAAGAGTGAGACCCTTCTGAGTACCGGGCCGTGTGTGACAGTACAGGTCACACGCCTTTGACACTGGCCCTGTGTGCAAGGGACAGGCCAGTTTGCACAGCTAATTCACTCAGTTTTACAATCTCATAAATGGAGATCAGCAATGTGTATAGCCCACAACTTTGCAAAGAGCTTTGAAAATATTAAGCATGTATATACAGTAGACCTTCATTATTCATGGATTCCCTATTGGCAAATTAGCCTACTTGCTGAAATTTGTTACCCCAAAATGAATACTTGCAGAGACTAAAATTCAAAATTCGGAGTATGAGCTGAGCATGGGGTAAGCCTGTAGTCCCAGTCACTTGGAAGGTTGGGGTGAGAGGATCACTTGAGCCCAGGAGCTGGAGGCCAAAGTGTGCTGTGATTGTGCCACTGCACTCCAGCCTGGGCAAAATATTGACAACCCATCTCAAAAAAAAAAAAATCAAAGTATGGTTTCTATTGAACGCATATTGTTTTTGCACCACTGTAAAGCTGAAAAATCGGATGTCCAATTATCTTAAGTCGGGGACTGTCTGTATTCTTCCTGGGAGCCATAGTTCAGTATTTGCTAATTCACTGTTTGCGGCGACTTTATATTAATAGAACATAACTATCACAATAACAAGCACTGACTGTATGTATAGAGAAAATACGCTACTGTTTCTACAGGTATATTATTATAAATTACCTTTAACATACAGCAACCCAAAGCCTATTTGAAGTCCACTGGTGTGGACCAGCCCACTGGGATGCTACCCTGGCGATGGAATATTCTGATCTGTGCCATTCCAAATTTGTTCCAGTCATAGAACCCCTGGTGAAGAGAAGTGGTTCTGGACTCAGAGAGCCCATTTCCACTCTAAGGTTATAGAATACAATACCAGGCATGCACTGTTGTGGCTAACTATGTGAAATTGAATTTAAACTGTTTAGTTACATTTCAGGGGAAGGGAGGGCATGATTTAACTTGTAATATGTATTAAATTTTAAATTTTGCAATAATGGAGGCCACTTTCTTAATATTAGTCACTGTCCCTTAAAAGCATTTGCTAAGTTAAATGCAAGTGATTCTGTATGGCCTGAATCGCTAAGAGAAAAGCTTTTCTTGGTAGTGAGGGTGTTATAAAATAAGATACAAGGTCTAGTCCCTGGCTTCGAGAAGCTCAGATCTAGATAAAGAATAAAAAATGTAAAGGAAAAGCTAGGTAACATTGCCAGGAAGAGTTCAGTGAGTGGTGATGATAGCGCTATGAGCGTCAGAAGAGGTCTCTGGGCTCCAGTCCTGACTTAGGAAGGAGGTGGGGGCTGGGCTCACGCCTGTAATCCTACCTTCCCCGGGCGCCAAGGTGGGAGGATAGCTGGAGCTCAGGGGTTCAACTTTATTTATTTATTTATTTATTTATTGAGACAGAGTCTCACTCTGTTGCCCAGGCTAGAGTGCCATGGCATCAGCCTAGCTCACAGCAACCTCCAACTCCTGGGCTCAAGCGATCCTCCTGCCTCAGCCTCCCGAGTAGCTGGGACTACAGGCATGCGCCACCATGCCCGGCTAATTTTTTCTATATATTTTTAGTTGTCCGATTAATTTCTTTCTATTTTTAGTAGAGACGGGGTGTCGCTCTTACTCAGGCTGGTTTTGAAGTCCTGAGCTCAAACAATCCACCCGCTTCGGCCTCCCAGAGAGCTAGAATTACAGGCGTGAGCCACCGCGCCCGGCCTCCAGTCCCGGTCTTGATGTGTAACTCAAAGGTCTAGAAAAATGGCAGAATGATCTGCTCCCATCCCATCAGTTTGGTTTTATTGTATTGATGACCTCAACTGGCATGGATCAAGAGGAAGCAAGATGAAAACACACAGGAGAAAAAATCCTGGGACTCTTTTTCTAGGAATATAATAAATACATACAAATAAAATGTCTTAGTGGGGGGTAAAAAAGAACGCACAGGAGGATTCTGATTTCTAGCCCTCTCCTCCACCCCTCCACTCCCACCTTGATCTTTCCACTCAGTAGAGCAGCATAGCCTCTGCTGCTCAGGTGGCCAGAGCCTGGTGCTAGTGTGTGCAAACTGAAGGCAAGGCTGCCCCAATCTACCCACCTCCCCGTGGAACACCATGGCTCGGACATCCAATAGAATTGTTCTGGTTTCATCTTAACCTCTGAAGCTCTTAAACTGTAAGAAACTTTTGGTCAGGAACAGCCACATCACTCCTGTTAACATCTTGGACCTTGACTCTTGGATGCTGTTCAGATCTGTATCACTGACCTGTTACTTATTCAAATCTCTCCACTCTGTTATCCCACACCCATCCTGTAGCTCAAACTCATCTTGACTTCTAGCCAAGTGATGCTTGCAGAAATGCCCTCTCCGATGGAGATTAAGGTTCACGTTATGTCATACATCCAGACATACGATATGAAGTATGACTCATGTCTAAATTGGTTAATAAGTATCCACCACTGAAGCCTCAAGAGAGAGAAGGCGAGGTTAAGGAATTAGAATGGCTTAGCACTACAAAGAGGTACTGCTGAGCTTTTCTATTTTCTCTACTCCTTTCTTTACTTTATGGAACTTTGCTGAAATAGGCATATGAATTTTGTCTAATCCTTTCATTAGAAATATATTATTTTACTTTTCCTAAGTCATAGCAACTTAAAGTCAGAAGAAATATTAGATTTCACATAGGTCAATTTTTTATAGAGTGTAGGAATCCTATCTACAACATACCTGTCCGACATAGATGATCATCTATTGGCTGTCCAGATACGTCACATGGGGGTCTATTCACGTGTCAATCACCTCTCACAGTAAGAAATCTACCTCCTGTTAGACAAGGGATAGTTGAGATACGCCACTCTGAGCTGCCCTTTAGGGCAGGCCTGACAGCACCCTCCAGGGATGGGCCCTACAATCATAAATCCAGTCCGACAGAGTTTGGAGGAACTCCAGGAGGATCCGAATAGGCTTAAATAGACAACATGGGGTCAAATCTAAGATAACCCAACAAAGAGACATGCCTATGAGAAACACAAAGTTATGAGTTGATATTTTAATAACAGGGATGGCTAACATTTACTGAGTACTGGTATAGATCAAAGGTGAGGCATCATTTAAGTGCTTTATATTTACTAGCCGTTTGTTTCTCACAACAATCTCATGAAAAGTATTGTTCTCACTTTACAGTTGCGCACACACACACACACACACACACGTGCACAATACTAGTCCACGTTCATACAGCTAGAAAGTGAAAGAGCTAGGACTTGAACCCAAGCCATTTGGCTACAAAGCCTGAATCCCTAATTGCTACACTTAATCACCTTACTAACTTTAACTGAGAATGCCTACCACGTGCCAGGTATTGTTGAATCATTTAATCCTCATAACAATCCTACAAAGCAGGATCCTATAATCCTGTTAGAAAATAGCTAAGTAACTTGCTGAAGGTCACACAGCTAGTGAGTGCTGAAGTTGGAATTCAAACCCAGGTAGCCCATCTCTAGATCTGATTCCTTTCCCCACTCCTCTACACCCACTTGGTGGTACCCTCCAGGCAGATGGTGACAGAGTCAGATACAGAGCTTTGTCATGTGCAGGTAAGGTACATGAGAAGGTGGAGCAAAAGTAGGACAGGCACCAGCTGGTGAAAATCTGGAGGAAAATCAGGAGCTGACTGGCTGTCCGGGATACCCAGGGAACTCCCAACATGGTCCTTCTTGCTGAGGACAAAGAGAAGACAAATGATCTCTAAACAGAAGTAGGGCTCGGTGCGGTGGCTCCTGCCTGTAATCCTAGCACTCTGGGAGGCCCAGGCGGGAGGATCTCTTGAGGCCAGTAGTTTGAGACAACAGCAAGACCCCTGTCTCTACAAAGAATAAAAAATTAGCTGGGTGAGGTGGGGTGTGCCTGTAGTATCAGTTACTGGTGGGGACGGGGGAGGAGGAGGGCGGCACTGAGGCAGAAGAATCGCTTGAGTCAGGAGTTTGAGGCTGCAGTGAGCTATGAAGACGCCATTGCACTCTAGCCCAGGCAACAGAGCGAAACCCTGTCTCAAAAATAAATAACTAAACAAACAGGAGGAGCCTAAACAATCAGAAAGAATGGCCTCTCTGTAGGAGTACATTCAGGAAGCCACCCTATCAGACCATCAGATCTGACACAAGATGATCTCCAACCCCCACTGGATAAGGGGAAGTTTGCAGATATCTGAGTGTTTACTGTGAACATCTGGAATGGATGTATGACTGGAGCAAGCAAAGAAAGATCCATTTAAAATTCAACCCACTGGATTCCTTTTCTGAATAGGTTTTTTCTGAGCTATGTAGAAGATTGCATGGTACATAAAAGTACAAAAAAAAAAAGAGGCTATGAATATTTAATAATAAATTGTGCTGATTTTTAAAAGTTATTTATTTATTTTAGAGATGGGGGTCTCTCTATGTTGCCCAGGCTGGACTTGAACTCCTGGGCTCAAGAGATCCTCGTGCCTCAGCCTTCCAAGTAGCTGGGACTATAGGCTTGAGCTTTATGAATATTAAGCAATGCAATTAGTTCATTTTTTAGAAATCGATACAATAAACTTCTTAACTAGGGCTGAAGTCCTTTGGATTCCACATTTAGTTATTTTTTGTTCATTCAGAGACCATAGCTCAGTAATCTAATCAATGTTTAGTAAATCATGTTTGGAGGGGAAATTTAAAAGATTTTTTTTTTAAAGAAATGGGTTTATTTACAAAGCAAGTAATTCCTTAAAATATTCAATAGTAACTCAATGCTCATTAGTTGCATTCATTCGGTAAATATTTATTGAACACAAACTGTGCTAGGTATTCTTCCAGACTCTCGGAAAATAGCAACAGCATAAAAAAGCAACACAACTTTCAGCCCTGTCCCCTAGGGAGCCTACATTCAGGGGAGGGAGGGGGAAAAAAGAGGGAAAAAAAAGTAAATATAAGACATTTTAGATGGTGTTAAACGCTAAGAAGTAGAAGAAAAAAGCAAGATAAAGGGATGGGGGTGTGTGGCAATTTATACAAGGTGGGCAAGGAAGACATTATAATGCACAGAGTCATTAGCGTTTAGGACATGTAGCATTTCACCTGTACTGAGAGCTGCCTGATATGTTCTATACATGACCAAAATAATAATGTAAGAGGCAATAAAAAGGTGTACAGGGTTTTAGGGTTCTAGAGATCAGCACTTAAAAAGATTAAATCCATAGCGAGAACCCCTATACTCCATACACTTAGTTTCATTTTCACTCTAACAATGAATACTTGGGTCTCTCTTTTTTATATATAGTTTCCTAAGGAGCAGCAGGGCTGACGTTTTCTCTAGTCCAGGAAGTCCTTCAAGGCTACATGTGCTCTGGAGAACAGAAAATATGTCTCTCTCTCTCTTTTTTTTTTAATTCCCCAGAGCCCGAGGCAATGTCTGGCATATACCGTTCAAAACAAGTTTGGTACCTGGAACCCGCTGAACAGCCCTGAATATGCGTGTCCAGTAACTACGAACGACGTGTGTTGGTCCAAGGCGGCGGGCACGGCTCGTCTGCGTGGCCTCCGGCAAGTAGCGGGGTGAAGACTGGGTTGGGGGGGCGGGGTATGGAATTCCGGTTTCCCAAGGGCAGATTTCCCAAGAAATCTTTCTCTAGCTGGACTGGATCGCTTTCTGGCCTTCTTCCTCTGCCGAGATAGCACGAATTTATGAAACGGGGTCCTGTCTCCTCCAAAGCCAAGGTCCCACCTAGGCGGACAGCGGTGCTGCGGCGAGAAGCCTGCGCACTGGACGGCGCCCTTGGGGAGCCCTTCTTGGTGGCGAGGGTGCCGCCTGCCTCTTTGTCTCCCCCGCTCGGTTCCTGCCGCCCCTCGCAGCCCAAGCCGCCCCGTCCGCCCCCAGGTGCGGAGAAACCCGAGCACCGCAGTGCTTCCCGGCACAAAGGCGCCCAGTGGCCTTTCTCGCCCCGCTTCCTCCCGGCAACTGCGCGATTGGCTCCCGCGCCGGGCGAGGGCGCCCGCTCACTGGCCCGCCGACCGCCGTCGCGCTGACGCGCCGCTCTCGGGGCGGGACCCGACACGGAGGGACCCGCGGCGGCGGCGTGAGGCTGCGACTCCTCCACCTGCGCACCGGGCGGCGTGGGCTGCGGTTCCGGGCGCACCTCCGGGGAAGGGGGGAGGGGGGCGGGATTCCGGGAGGGCCGCGGGGTCTCGGCGCGGGGCGCAGGGCCGGGGGCGCGAGGCGGCGCGGGGAAGCCTTGGGCCATGGCGCGGCCGGACGACGAGGAGGGGGCGGCGGTGGCGCCCGGGCACCCGCTCGCGAAGGGGTACCTCCTGGTGCCGAGGGGCGCGCCCGCAGAGAAGGAGAGCGTGGAGCCGCAGAACGGACCCAAAGCCGGCTGCCGGCCCCTGAACGGGTTCCCCCGGGACAGCCCCGCGGCCGGCGCGGGAGCCCTGGGCGGGCCGCAGACTCCGCTGGCCCCGGAAGAGGAGACCCAGGCCCGGCTGCTGCCCGCGGGCCCGGGAGAGGCGACCCCGGGGGCCGAGGGCACCCTGCTGCCCCGGATCGCGCTCTCCACGCGGCGCTTTTTGGTGCTCCTGATCTTCAGCCTGTACTCGCTGGTGAACGCCTTTCAGTGGATCCAGTACAGCATCATCAGCAACGTCTTCCAGGGCTTCTACGGCGTCTCCTTGCTGCACATCGACTGGCTGTCCATGGTGTACATGCTGGCCTACGTGCCCCTCATCTTCCCGGCCACCTGGCTGCTGGACACCAGAGGCCTGCGGCTCACCGCCTTGCTGGGCTCCGGCCTCAACTGCCTGGGCAGCTGGATCAAGTGCGGCAGTGTGCAGCAGCATCTCTTCTGGGTCACCATGCTGGGCCAGTGCCTCTGCTCCGTGGCCCAGGTGTTCATCCTGGGCTTGCCCTCCCGCATTGCCTCAGTGTGGTTTGGGCCCAAAGAAGTGTCCACAGCTTGTGCCACCGCCGTGCTGGGCAATCAGGTAAGGCCTGGAGTGATAGGTGACAGTCGGATCCTTAAAGGACCAGAAAAATTCATATAGGCTCTCATGGCCTGTATGGATGAAGCCTCAGGAGGCCTTTGTCTATAAATGAAAGAGAGGAGATGAGTAGTCGTATGTTAAGAGGCACGCTTTGATTAAAGAGCATTTTAAATTTCTTTGTAAGGACAGAATTTTTAAAACAAGTTTAGGGCCGGGTGCGGTGGCTCACACCTGTAATCCTAAGACTTTTGGATGCCCAGGCGGGGGGGCATCACTTGAGCCCAGGAGTTTGAGCTTGCTGTGAGCTAGGCTGACACCACTGCATTCTAACAGGCAACAGAGCGAGACCTTGTCTCCAAAAAAAAAAAAAAAAGAATTCTAAATGTTCTGCTGGTGGTAAGGACTTCACAGCGTTACCGAGTCCAATTACCGATTTTTAACAGTATGACAGTGCAAGACAAATCACACATAAGGGAACCATTGGAAAAGAGTGGCTTACTTTGCCAACTCTCCATTAAGGAATTACCTAGTCTTTCCTAATACCATAGGTTGAAATTCCAGTTGCATTTCTAGGTAAAATGTTCTGTGTATTTTTTAAATTGCAGACTGATTCTTTTACTGTAATTTAATTTCTGTATAAGGGGTCCTATGATACTCTCTGTAAGTTGTATCCCCTCAGCTGGAGGGGAATCTAGTTAAAAATCTGTATCCCAAAAACTTCAGTTCTCTCTATACTTATATTGCTACATGTAGTTATGTAACAAAAGATTGCTACTTTCTTACTTGATCTAACCTCAAGATCACAGTCAGATTTATTTAAAATACATAAAAAGACTAACTATACTTGCTTATTGCTTTATATTTATTTCCTTTATCTAAAAGTACAGAGGAAGGGGTAGTTTGAACTATAGTTGTTATGTATCCAAAATAATTTATGACTGATACTTTAGTTGGTTACATCTGCATGTCTGGATAGGAGCTGTGTTCTTGTTTTATCTTTACTAAATTATATTCAAGATTAATACTTCATCGAGCATGACAAAAATATTAACAACATATCTATGGACAATCTATTTTGTGAATAATAAATGGAAACATTTACTCATAGGCAAACTTCCCTCAAACTGCACACCTCTGGGCCTTCTTCCTACATTCCGCTCGGGTGTTCTCATCCCTTCCTTGGCTCCAGTAGCTGTACAGTTGCTCATGACTCCCAACTTTGCATTTTTAGCCTAGTTTATGAAGTGATCATTCACAATAATATTCAACTTTATTGAGCACTCACTAAGAGCCTGGAGACACGCCAAGTGCTTTACATGCCTTGTGTCATTCAATTTAATACTGTCAGATAAGAACTATCAGTCTTCCCATTTTGTGTATACAGAAGCTGAGACTTGAAGGGATGAAATTATTTTCCAAAGGTCACAGCTAGTTGGTGGCCACATTCACACTCAAGTCTATCTGGTTCCCGAATCCTAGCTTTTAACTACCCATCTGTACTGCCAGGTCTCTAACCAGAGAGAACCTTTTAAAACATAGATCAAATCATTTCATTGCCCTGCTTTTTGAACTTGCCAGTGATTTCCTATAGTACTTACAATATAAACTCTTTACTCTGAATTATAATACGAAACTTTACTGGTATGTCTTCTTTGGTTCCTCCAACAATGGTAAGCTTGTACTTGCTTAAGGGCATTTGCAGAAGCATTCCCTCTGCCTGGAATGTTCTTCTTCCTGGAATCGCATGATTACATTCTTTTTGTAACTTATCTCTCAGTTTAAATCTCATTCAGTGCCATTTCTTGATTCCATTTAGAGTTGCCCGTCATTCTCTTATTACATCATTATGCTGTAATTCTCCATATAGCACTTATCCCTGTCTCATGTTTATTGTTTACATATTTGTATGTTTACATGTGAATTTTTATCTAGTACTCATCTCCCGTCCCTACCATTAGATCGTAAGATGAAAATAAGCATGTGGTCTGAATGCGTACAACTGTATCGCCAGCATTTATTACAGTGCCTGGCGTATTTTAGGCTCTCTATAAAAATGTGTTGAATAAATGAATGAGCTTCAGACTAATATAGATATTGGCCAGCTGGATAGTCTACTTGGATATCTCATAGGAACCCACCACTCAAAATCTGCCTAGTTCATTGTCTCCTAGCTCATTTCGCTTCACCTCTACTGCCACTATTGTAGCTTGGGCCACCCGCAGCTCTCACCTAGAGCTTGCTAACTTATCTCCCTATCTGCAGCTTTTGCTCTCTTCCGTCTATTCTCCATTCATCCAGTATGATCTTTATAGTGTGCAGATCTGTTCTGGGCACTAACTTACCCCCTGCAGTGGCTTCCTTTGTCCTTAGGATGAAATTCAAAAACTCTCTAAGGTCACATGTGAGACCTTCCATCTCTGCCTCCTGCCAGCTCTTTTGATTCACCTCTCTCCACAATCCCCAACCCCACACACATACTCTTTCTCTGCTCTGTGCCAAACTGTGCATACTTAGTTTCTGACAAGGTCATGCTCTCTCCTTCCTGGCCCTGTACGTAATGTCCCTTTGATTTGGAACATTTCTCCTTCTCTTAGCTAACTCCAATTTCTTATTCAGATCTTTGCTTTCTCCATGAACTTTTCCTGAATCCTGAGTCTATACAAGGTGCCCTTCCAAAGTACTCTTCTGTAGGTTGTTTTCTCTTAGCCCTATTTTGCATACTCTTATTCCCTTTTTGACGGTGAACATCTAAAAGTCGAGGAATGTATCTTACACAACTTTATAGCAGCATCATTCAGATAGTAGGATCTCAGTAAATGTTTTTTAAATAGGAAAGACATTGGTCAGCAATTTCTCTTTAACAGTACAGTAGTAACAAATACATTAAAACATAAACACTAGCTGTCCTCTTTATGTTCTATTAATTGCCAGTATTTACTTTTTTCTCTAATGAGAATAGCTGTTAACAGTACTATTTATTTTACAGCTTGGCACTGCAGTTGGCTTTTTGCTACCACCCGTTTTAGTGCCCAACACACAGAATGACACAAACATCCTGGCTTGTAATATCAGCACCATGTTTTATGGAACATCAGCTGTTGCCACACTTTTATTTATTTTGACAGTAATCGGTAAGTGAATTATTTTCCCTATAGCTTAGATAAATGCATGACAAAAATTTGAAAATTTGTATTGATAGTATCTCAAATAGCATTTGCTTGTTTCATTCTTGCCATGCACTGTTTTGGTCAGGTAATGAATGCTATAAACCCAGCAATGTGTTATGATCCACTGTTACCTATTTTAATACTATACAGGATTTGAAGACTAATTCATCTAATTTATCTCCCTACTAACTTTTCTTCTTGATAACTGTTGGTTTCAAACATATTACCTGCCTCCTCTTCCCATATTCATGTACATGGTCTGCATCTTATGCCTACCTGGCCAGAAATAACTTCTTGTCATGCTTTGAAGTGATGCAAGCAGGCTGCAGTCTTCCTTTTAATGATAAATCCTCCAAAGGATCCCCAACTTAACAATTAACTGGATCTGAAAATATTGACCAGTGAATGATCCTGGGCAGCAGTAAGCTGTTCAGCAGAATTTCAAATTGTGGCAACTATCTGCTCGTTAGGCCATTCCAGCACAGCAAGGCTGCCACCCTTCGTCACTGAGTCCTCTCGTCGGGGCCTGTCTCTTGAAGCAGTCAGTCAAAATCAGCCGCAAGCAGCCGTCATCAGTTTGGAAGAAGCTTTGGGAAGGTCTGCTTTTTTAACTTTATTTTTAATGGGAAACAGTTTTGATTTCAGGGAAAAGGCTAGGTAGGGTTTATTTAAGTAATATAGCTGCTGACATAACTGCAATCAATATTGCCTTTTAGACACTCAATATATGTAAATTGATTTGAAGAGGAAAGGAACTATAAAGTTGAAAGGCTGTCTTTTCATCATTAAAACTTATAATTAGGCCAGGCGCGGTGGCTCACACCTGTAATCCTAACACTCTGGGAGGCCAAGGCGGATGGATCACTCAAGGTCAGGAGTTCGAGACCAGCCTGAGCAAGAGCGAGACCCCCATCTCTACTAAAAATAGAAAGAAATTAGCTGGATAACTAAAAATATGTAGAAAAAATTAGCCAGGCATGGTGGCGCATGCCTGTAGTCCTAGCTACTCGGGAGGCTGAGGCAGAAGGATTGCTTGAGCCCGGGAGTCTGAGGTTGCTGTGAGCTAGGCTGATGCCACGGCACTCTAGCCTGGGTGACAAAGTAAGACTCTGTCTCAAAAAAAAAAAAAAAACACAACAGACAAACAAAAAAACTTATAATTAAATTGTATTATAGCTGGAGTTTTAAAATTTTGTATATTTTGACTATGGTTATAATAGTAATGAAAAATTCCTATTTTATGATCTCCAGATATGAAATCCTCAATTTTCAAAGAAATGTATGCTGAAGACTCTAGAATGTTTCAGTAGAGACTGCCTTGGTAGATGAAGCTCAGCCCACATACTTAATTTCCCTTAAGATAATGAAAAAATGTTCTCTTGGTAGCATATGAAGTATTCTGACATGTCTGATCTACTTATGGTTAGTTTTTTTTCAGTTAGGGAGTGGCATATTTGCTGTGTCCAGACTACTCAAAAAGGACAAATGACCCGGGTACTATTTTAGTTTAGTTTAACAAAGTTTTGAAAGAAATCTATATTGTTAAAAAAAAAAAAAAGAAGAAGACTTAAATATGCTTTTCTGGCAGCCATATCTGATTTGCTAGATGAAATAGGAAATAGTGTTTATATACATTTTGCATAAATGGCCCTTCCATTGGCAATAGGGATTTTTAAAATACAAAATTCTCTTTCTGTTGATTGCTTATTTTTTTTTCACATAAATTCTGGTTTTCATTTTTTTTTTAATCTTCAATTGTTTGTCTCTTTAGAAGAAGTGAGAGTAATAGATTACATATGAGATATCTATAGATATGAAATTATATATATGATGTGTGTATATATGTTTAAATTGCTACAAATATAATATTTTTTTTGTCAAAGAAGAGAGACAAAGAACAATAATAATAGGTGTGACCATTGGCATATCACTCTGTGTTGTTCGAGAAATTAAAAGAGAGGGCTATTTGTATACTTAATTATTTATGTTCTCATGGCTTATGGGTAGAGAGTAGAAATAGAGATGGGGAAATAGGAAAAAATTGGAATAGAAAAAAAGGGCTCTTTGTCAAGTTTTGTTCAGTGGTTTATAATTTTAATCTTACAATACCAGGCATAGTATAAAAGCAAGATAATATGCAGTTACGTTATGAAAGTCTTAAGTTGGAAATTATAACATTTAAATGGAAAACCTACTTATTTTTCTCATACCGAAGTATTTGTTATTGAAGAAAATTTGGATTATTTAAAAAATACTTAAAGTTTGTTAATTACTAAGAGACAATCCTACTTCCCTCTAAATTCTACTAATAATTACTTTGGAAGTCCAACCAAATTCTTATAATTTAGTTTTGTTGAAGTTTTCAGGAATGTAACATGTACTAAATTGATACTCAGTCTTCCTAAAATACTGTCTTGAAGGGTTGTGCCATGTAACCCTGTCCCCTTCCCTCATGTAGTTTACATGTGAGTGTGATCTATCTAGCATTTCTAGAAATTTACCCAAACCCCACTGAATTTCAAACTAATCCCCCATTCCTATTGGGAGAACTCTATTATAGCCTCTAACATTTGGTTGGTTGGTATGTGCCAAACATGTTTAAAGGTATGCTACATACTGTATCTCATTTAATTCTTATAATCCTATCAGGATGTTTCCATTATTATCATTCCCATTTTATAGATGAGGAAACTGGGGCACAGAACTTGAATAAATCTAATTTGCCCAAGATCACAGTAAACACTGAAGGTCATATTTAAGCCTAGGCAATCTAACTCCATATATAAAATGTTATATATAAATACATATCATTTTAATTTTTACTTAGCCTTGTTTTTGTTCCAATTCAAATTCTTCTTCCATAAGTGGTAATGCCGGCATATTTAAAAGCTGTTTTTGTGTAGAACAGCAGTAAACTATGTCATTTAACTCAAGTGTGTCAATTAAAATCCTTTCCTGATTTACTAAGATGAGTGGATGACAGAAACTAAAAGTAATAAACAATAAAATTATTTAATATTCATGTACTTAAGCACATGACTGTATAACATGTATGCATAATTTTACTTTTGATTCTTAAAAATTTAAGATAACTATAGGCTGTAAACTTTCAAGAAAAATACATTTTACTTAGTCTGTAAGAATTCACACTCCTGAGGCAAAGTTTCTGATTATTTAAAATAAGTATTTCTTTAAAAAGACAACGTATTTTGTGTCACACTCGATAATTACAACATTCTTTTGCATATATTATATCATTTAATCCTCATAACAGCTCGTTATTGTTATTTCCACTTTATGGATGAGAAAGCTAAAGTGGAGGGGCAGGAATTGACTTCTTCCAAGTCACACAGTGAGTTGGCGCAGAGCCAGGATTCAAACTTTTATTTTTCTTAAAATAAGGTAATATGTGTAATATTTGCTTGACTCACACAATGACAAATAATGAAATCAAAAGATAATGTTATAACTTGATTTTGAAAAGTACAAATGGCCCTAAATAGCAATAATAGATTTGCTACTTATTCATCATGGGAGGACGAGTTTGAATGTGGTGCTCGAGAACACTGTGGCTACTTTACATGCCTAATGCCAGGGATGGAGAATAACTGGTAGTTATTTTATTGGTGCAAGTTTTTGGTGGGGAGAAGACAGTAGAAGCTTTATTTTTCAGTTTCAAAAGAGGAAGAAAAAGCCACATTTCATCCTTTCAAAGTAGCATTTTGGCATAAACCAATGGCTTTTTGTTCTTCTTTTTCTTCATATAGACTTAAGTTTGACCTTACCACAGCATGAGATAAGGGCTTGATTTTTGTCAAAAGACTGACTGTCTGAAACCAAAAGATTAACACTTGTATTCAGAAAATAAATCTAGTGGAGTTAAATACTGGCAAGAATTGTTTTCATTTTTTGCATTTGAGTTCAGGTTTAGGCCATTTAGACTTATTTTACCATAGTAAATAAAAACCTAAGTAGAGGTAAGATTCATAAATACCCATGACCTGTAAGCATAATTTTTACATTCTGAAACTTTGTTTTACAACTGTGTGAGTTATGTATTACCACCGTTAATAAAAAGAGATATCTCCTGTCTAACTAGGATATAAAGAGGCTTTCAGGAAAGGACAGCAGACATCCTAACAGAGCAAAGATCATATAGAGTGAAAGGAAGAGGAAGGATTGCAACAACTTAAATGTTTTATGTCTACCAGTCCTCTAATGTAAGGATATTAAAAAGTAAATATTTATATGAGTTATGTCTCCTCTTGAATTAGTTGTGAGATCTATAAAAATAGAAGTATGTGGCTGGGTGCCATGGCTCATGCCTGTAATCTTAGCACTTTGGGAGGCCAAGGCAGGCGGGGGATTGCTTGAGGTCAGGAGTTCAAGACCAGCGTGAGCAAATGCAAGACACCGTCTCTACAAAAAATAGAAAATTACCTGGATGTGGTGGTGCATACGTGTAGCCCCCAGCTACTCGGGAGGCTGAGGCAGGAGGATCGCTTAAGCCCAGGAGGTTGAGGTTGCAGTGAGCTATGATGATGCCATTGCACTCTAGCAAGGGTGACAGAGCAAGACTTTCTCTCAAGGGAAAAAAAAGTATGTTTTAGTTTGATATTTTGGTCAGCGGAGAACTTTAATTTTTATTTTAGCAGCAAAGAGGAGAATTAAAGAATTATGGTATGTCATGGAAGTTGTAAGGGTCATTTCTTTCTTTCCTAGTTGTTCTCAAACTTGCCTGGCTTTTGATAGCATTTGAGGAGTTTTACTTATTTTAATATAAATTCCCAGGTTCCATCCTGAAGGTTCTGATTCATTGAACCTTGTAGAATCTCAAAACCTGTATTATTTTTAAATTTCCAGTTGATTCCAGTTGACAGACAGATCCATCAAATCTAACCCACTTTCAAACTACAAAGCAGGCCTTCCTTGCTGGAATAAAGAAATAGCCAATATTAAAGAAAGAAAGAAAGGAAAAGAGAGAAA